ACACAAGACTCCACTACCTCTATTCACATAAACAATTCAAATCGATTATGTGCTTATAACTAATAATCCTAACTTAATAGAGATTTGTCTTTAGTCCTTAAATATTATATCCAAGTCTAAAACACCACACTTACATATATTTCTTAAAAGATAGAAAATAAAGAAAAAATAATACACTAAGAAATTGATCATATAAGATTGTAACACTCAATATCAAGAGTCATATACCTAGATTGTCAAACAACTAAGTAAATTAGTCAAAATCTTATAGATGTAAGATATTATCTTTTTAATGTTTTTAAATGTTTTTTAAGATTGTTCCGCTTTGTAGTTTCCTATTTTTTTTTTATGAAGATTGTAGTAGTTCTTTTTAGTCTATTTTTTAAGTGAATTATATTACTTCCGTGACCTACAGTTGGAGGTGGATCACTATAAACTATAACTTTTGGATTTTTTATTTTATTTTTCGGGCTTTTACAATTTAATATAAAATGTATAAGGTTTAAATAAATATTTTATTATTAATTCTTTTATATCTTGATGAAACTCTATTATTAAATTTTTAGTTTGTAAATTTTATTATTTAATTTCAAAGTTGTACCTATTTTATTTTTTTTCATCAATTAGTTCACAAGTTTTTAATGTGTGATTATGTAATCGATGGTATCTTATCTTTATTAGTAAATGGAATATACGTTTTGTTTTAAATTTTAATATTTAAAAAGAATAATAGTCTACATTTTAAATTTAGAAGAATGAATACATACTTATTAAATCATAGAAAAATAATATCAAGTAACAAATTTTTGTTTATAAATCACAATTTAAAATATATATATATATATATATTGTCATGTTAATTTTTCTGAACTTTTGATTATCATTCTTTAACATGCAAAGGTAAAACTTATACATTTATGATGATTTTCAACCTTTATTTTTCAAATAATTGAATAAATGTTTATATAAATTCATAAAAATTTATCTAGAGATTAAAAGTAAATCGAAATTGTGACGGAATCACGAATTAAAAAAGACGATTTTGAAAATAATATTTTGAAGTCGTATTCTGAAAAACTACAGAAAAATCATAAAATAATGAGATATTATATGCAAAAATTGATTTCTAGAGGTTTGAGAGTGAATTACGCTTAAGGAAGGTATTAGCACCTTATCATGTCTGTCCGAAAACATTACCTTTAATTAAACATGTGAAATTGATGTGGTTTACAAGATATTCGATTGTCCTAAAAATGATACTAAACAAAATATATTTTTAGTTTCTTGGGTCCATAATAACTGACATTTCTCTTAGATTAAAAATAAGAAATCAAAGTTACATGGTTTGGTAAGAAACTATTTGAAAAGTTGGTTAGAAAAATTGTTTGCAAATTTATTTAGAACTAATTATTGATAATTTTAAATTTTTAAAAAGTGAATCTGAGAAAGATTTGCATTACTTCTACGTATTTTCATTGACAATAAAAAAAATCAAGAATCACAAAAGATTATTTGTTTGAAAACATAAATGTTTTTAGTTTTTAAAGATTTTATATTTTTTTTTATTTTTGACATGGTGGAGAGTCTTCTTACCTTCCTTTCGTGCGTTATTTTTAATATTTTGAAAGAAAAAAACCTGAAAAGAGAAAACTTGGTTCTCTTAAACCAAACCAAAATCATAAGACGGTAACCATGAAGGTTGGTCTTCCACCAAATCTCCATTCCCAACCTTCTTATCACACTTTTGTCTTTTTCCTTTCGTGCGTTATCTCCTGACTTTGCCCTGCCAGATCAGCTTGGTCAAACCTTCCACTTTGATGTATGAGCACCTCTATCACGATTGCGTATAGGCATTGTCGTTGTAAGCATCTGCCACAGGTTGTAGCAGGCTGAATGGTCAGATAGTGTTATTGTGGTCGTAAGCATCAGGTTGCAGTTGCAGGATAAATTATCAGATATTGCTTACCTCCACTGAATCCACCTGCAGCCATATTCAGAAAAAGGGTTCTAAAATGCTTACTTCACATGCATTTTTCATTTTCTTTTTTCTTCCTCTCTCTTTTTTTTTTTACTTATAAAAAAAAAAACACTATATATTTTCATTTTAAACACTTGAATAAAAATCACTATTTTTTAATCAATACTTTAACTTTTCATAACTAGTTTCAATTCTCTTGATTTTTAGTAAATATTAAATATATTTTTGAGCCAAGAAATATAACGATCTCTTCCATTAGAACACGCATTGTGTTATAAGTTGTCTTATTTTTATCAATTCGATTTATACCGAAATATTTTTCTAAGTTTGTAACTTTTTTAAAAGGCCGAGTTTCACATTCTTAATCTCTATCTTATTTAATTGATTATTATTTTAATTTGACAATTTTTTTAGTTTTGATTATTATATTATATTATATTTTAGATTTATTATGAATTATATAATTTATCTTTATTATGAAAAAAAAAATTAAATTTATAAAAGATAAATACATTTTAACTTATTTATTGATATTTGTATGAATATATTGATTTATGTGATAATATTCATATAAAATATTTTTATGAGTTGTTTTGAGAGATAAAGCTTCTTTGAAATGTATCAAAATCCTATTTATCATTACATATATTTTAAAATATTATTTTTTGTTATTTCAAGATTATATTATAGGAATTACAAATTATCTTCCTGACTTTTAATAACAAATTTTTTATTCGATATTCAGTTAAAATTCTCAATTAACATCAATCCCTAATTTTTAGGTGTCTAAGATTTTCATGTCTTCTTGACTTTGATTAAAACAAAAATTGGTGAAGCAATGCTTTTTATTATAGATTCAATTTTTCAAAATTTCGTTACAACGAAAATAATAAAGCACAAGATATACAATCACGAAAATAAAATCGTACGAGGAATGATGACCAACACTAACTATTTCTTTTTACACATTAAATTGATAAAACCAATCGTTAAATTAATTCTTTTATTAATTGTATGAAATCTAGTTTTTTTTATAAATTTTAAAAACTATTTACTAATATATTAAATAAACAATGTTAGTTTTAGAAATGAAGTAAATGTCAATTATAAAGTTTATTTGATTTAACTACATTTTTTTTTGTGTTCATGGTTTACTTAAAATGTTATATATATATATATATATATATA